AATTGAAAAGAAGGTTCCTCACCTAACAAAACCTAATATAACAGTGTTAGGTCCAGTTTCAGGTTATGTCCCACTTTGTAGATATCGACCGATCTTTGGTAGATATCCACCAAATCTCGTACCATAATCATTAAAGTGTTAGCGAACATCCTACGGAACAGTAACGCAACCATAATTCACGACCAATTTTAAAAAGAGTTTAACATCTAGCAACAAAATAGGGTCTTACATATTCTATAGATGATTGATAAGATTGTTTCTTTAATGCCAAATAAGAGAAATTGTTTGTTTCGTGGATTTTTTTTTTTTTTTGAGGGGGGGGGGGGTGTTTGATTTATTTCATCTTCTTCCGAATCTCGTAAAAGTAACTCAAGGCCACAACCGCAGCAGCAACCGCAACCCCGAACGCGCTTTGTGCCAGAATCGTGCTGTCCGCAATCGTTTTAGCCGTCGAGGAGCTCGGGTTGAAACCGAGTTCAGAGAGTTTCTTATGCGATTCCGCGTAGTCTCTGAAGAATGCATCTTCATCCTGCCACCACAAATTGAACTTTAACAACACAGAAACAGAACAAATGCAACAAATCACTTTGCTTACTTTATTTGCACCTCAAGATCATATTTTCAATCATTGATCAAGAACAGAAGTCGTAGAGAAAGCATGCGATTTCTATTTACAGCTTTCAAAAAAATGTGACTGAACTATAGATCAATGTGACGGTTCAAGGTGATAATATGGTAAGAATTCAAAGAGTGTTCATATTTTCACTTTGGAACATCAGCAACTATTGGTGATTAGGATTCGTNCCCTAGCTAGTTTGGTTTGTGATTCTGTGCGTGCCTGTGGTTTCAGTGAAAATGTGAAATCAAGATATATTCCTATCATAGCAACGTAAAGAAACAAACGGTTTAGAAGCAGAGAAAACTTCCAGTTTATACCTTTGCATAAAGCTCAACATAACGACGGAACTCGGGGTCTTCCAATAATGTCTTGTCGGTTGGAAGTTTCAACAGGCCCTCTGATTCTCCTTTCAGNAGCTCCCTGNTACNAAAAGAGAAATGAATTATAGATAGAATAAAAGTAGTTGTTCCTTGTTTTTCTTG